TAAAGGCACCGAGCCCATTGTCGTTGACCCATTTGATCCCAGAGGGGGAGGGGGGCTGCTGCGGCAAAGCGCAGAGGGAGCCCCCTCCCCAAACTACGACGATGACGACGACGACAGGGCCGACGAATCGCTGTTCATGATGAAAGAGCTGGCTGGCGCAAAGGTAACCGTGGCGGTTAGTTCAGGGCCTAGTGCTCTTTGCAGAGCAACTGCTGATGAACATTGGACGTGCTTCACATTTTTCTAGCACTCCTTGGCTGCGTCCACGTGTTGACCATCATCAATCGCGATGCCCTTGGCATTGTCTGAGATACAGATAATTGTTGGGACCAGTGTTCCCTCTAAGCTGAGTTAGTGTGAGCTAGCTCACGGTCTTTTGGCCTCCGGCTCACAGATTTTTGCTTTAGCTCAGGAAGGACAGCTCCAGAGCAAACTCATTTATGCGGTAGCCAAATCGCCGGCTCACCACTTTAGTGCCAGTAGCTCACAAAGTAGAATTTTTGCTCATAAGACTCCAAAGCTTAGAGGGAGCATTGAATCAGACCCTCTGCAAGTGCAGGTAAGCTGCAAAATTCACCTCCTGAAAATCTGACCTTCTGTTTTTGAGCATGTTCAAGTTCCTAGCCCTTAGAGCTGACCAGTGTTCCCTCTAAGCTGAGTTAGTGTGAGCTTGTTCAGTGAGTCGCACAGTCGAGTCCGACTCTTCGCGACCCCATGGACCAGATCACGCCAGGCCTTCCTGTCTTCCGCCGTCCTCTGAAGTTTGCTCAACTTCATGTTCGTTGCATCTATGATGACACTGTCTAACCATCTCATCCTTTGCCGTCCCCGTCTTCTTTGACCTTCAATCTTTCCCAGCATCAGGGTCTTCTCCAGTGACTAGCTCACACATATTTGTCTTGGCTCAGGAAGGAAGGCTCCAGAGCAAACTCATTTATGCGGTAGCCAAATCGCTGGCTCACAACTTCAGTTCCAGTAGCTCACAAAGTAGAATTTTTTGCTCACAAGACTCCCCAGCGTAGAGAGAGCATTGGTTGGGACTTCTGTGTAATTCCATTTGCTTCAGATTGAAGATGAATGCCTCGGAACACAAATGTGGGTAGTTTGGGATCGTAGCAGAGACGATCTGCTCCCCTCTGTCGTATCCCAGCATTAGGTGGGTGTGTACCGAACACAGCGAAGCCGCCATCTAGTGGTAAAACAGCCTCTGTCACTGGTGCAGGGCCAGCGTAACCTGCAGGTCTCGTGGATACAGCAGAGCAGCTCCTTTATGCCGGGTGTAAACGTTTCTGCTTTTGTTCCCATGCAGGTGGAGCGTCCTCCTTCTCCCTTTTCAATGGCTCCCCAGGCAACACTCCCCCCGGTGCCCCCACGATTAGACCTTCTGCAGCAGCGCGTCTCCAACCCCCCCGGAGCTTCGAGTCCAGGAACCACTTCTAAGGTGCGCAGAGCCCTATCCCACTTTCTCCTGCAGAGCGATGAAGGCGGGAGAGCGTGGAGCCTTCCCGGTGGTGATCTTATTCCGTCTTTTATCTCCCTCCTCAATCTGGCGCTGGCAGATCTTCCACTGTTGGGTTAATCAAGTTTCTGCCTGTCACACAATGGGGGCTGTTTGCACAGAGCTCAATTATTAATCCAGCTGAGCACCAGGCGCCACTACCCGGGTAGCGGAGGCTAGTCTGACCTCGTCAGGTCTCGGAAGCTAAGCAGGAGGAAGTCCAGGGTTGCTACGCAGAGGCAGGTGATGGCAGGCTACCTCTGCTTGTCTCTTGCCTTGAAAAACCCATGGGAGGTTAGCCATGAGTCAGCCGCAACTTGATGGCCCTTTCCACCATCAGACATCAGGCTCCCTGACATGTTGGACTGGCGCTTGACGTGATGCTTGATTTTCAGCTCTGCAGCTGTGTGGATGAGAACAGGCTTTGTTTGACCCCCTTGTTTAGCGATGCCAAGTGGGCCTTTAGGGGCTACTTCTTCAGTTTCTTCTTCTACCTTGATTTCTGTAACAGCTACAGTGATCAAGTTGTTGTCGAAAGCTTTCATGGCCGGAGCTCATTAGTTGTTCTAGATTTTCCAGGCTGTGTGGCCATGGTCTTGGCATTGTAGGACCTGACGTTTCGCCAGCCAGAAAGATTGATGACTCAGCCCTACCCCAGATATAAATTACCTGCCTACCATTTTTCTTCTCACCTTGACACAGAGAGTACTCCATCTTTCTGTGTTATACCTCTGAGGATGCCAGTCACAGCTGCTGGCGAAACGTCAGGCCCTACAATGCCAAGACCATGGCCATGCAGCCCGGAAAATCTACAACAACTAATGATCAAGTTGTTATTTTTTTTAATCGAGTTTATTTGTCAGTTTTACAAAAATCATAACAACTTACACATACGATTCTTTCATACCTTTGAGTCTAAATTTTCCATATCTTATTAATCCAGTTATATAAACAAGCCCATCTTACATAAAAGATGTTATTCTCTTTCTCTAATATTATCATCTTTCCCTTGAAGCATTAAGCTTAATTTGTCAATTTCTGCTATTTCTAACAGCTTACAAACAACTTCTTCTTTGGTGGGAAGTTCCTCTTGCTTCCAATAAATATGGCTAATAAAATTCTGGCAGATGTTAAAATATAAAGTAACATATTTTTATCACTCTGTTTATGACAATCCGGGATCATATTTAACAAAATTATTTCAGGAGACATCGCCATATTTTTATTCATTATTTCTGAAATTAATTTCTGAATCATTTTCCAATATTTATATACTCTACCACAACGCCGCCACATATGGAAAAAAGTGCCCATGTTTGCTCTACACTTCCAACAGTTATTGGATATTGAAGAATTACATTTTACTGACTTATCTGTCGACCATGGTTAAGCTCAGGGCTATTTCGGGGCAGGAACGCACAGGAACGGAGTTCCAGCTGGCTTCAAAGTCGGCCACGCCCTCTACAGCCAAAACCTCTGCGTGTGTGGCTACAGAGGGAAGGCCTGGAGAGCGACTCCGCCCCCCGGCGACTCGGAGGCGGACGGGCCAGGGGGCCCCCTGGAACGATCAGGGAGGCATTTAAATGCCTGCCCGTGCCTTTTCCGGCCTGTCCAAGGGCCGGCTTGCCAAAGGAAGGCATGGGTGTGGCCTAATATGCTACTGAGTTTCTGCTGTTTGGTGTGGCCTGTTATGCTAATGAGTTCCTGCTGGGCTTTTTCTACAAAAAAAGCCCTGATTAAGTTGTTCTAAGAAGCCAGTATCCCGATTACAAGATTTGAGTCCAGTAATACCTTAGAGAGCAACAAGATTTTTTGGGGTGTGGCTCTGACCCAAATAGCCCGGGCAGGCCTGATCTTGTTAGATCTCAGAAGCTAAGCAGGGCTGACCCTGGTGAGTATTTGGAAGGGAGACCTCCAAGGAATACCAGGGCCTGGAGGCCAGAGGCTATCAGAGCCACTTCTCTAAATGTCCTCCGTGCCCCAGGAGGAGTTGCCAGAGGTCGCCATTACTTCCCGGCACGGGCACACACACAGACACACAAAAATGCAAAAATACCCCTCACCCAAACAAAAGATTTTCAGGGGTATGAGCTTCAAGAGTCAAAGCTCCCTTCATCAGCTACGAATCTTTGACTCCCGAAAGCTCATATTTCCCCAAAAGTCTTGTTCTCTAAGGAGTTCTGCTGTAGTGGTTCTTTTGCAGACCCAACACAGCGATCCCCTGAAACTGATTACCAAGACTGGTTCTCACTTTCCAGTAGCACCTTAAGGACTAACAAAATGTGTGGCCTTTGTGAGTCTCTGCTCACCTTCTGATGAGAGCAGTGCAGTGTTCCCTCTAAGCTGAGTTGGTGTGAGCTAGCTCACAGTTTTTAGCCTCCAGCTCACATATTTTTGTCTTAGCTCCAGAAGGACGGCCCCAGAGCAAACTAATTTATGCAGCAGCCAAGTCGCTCGCTCACAACTTTAGTGCCAGTTGCTCACCAAGTAGAATTTTTTGCTCACAAGACTCCAAAGGTTAGAGGGAGCACTGGAGGAATGACTTAAGAAAGCTCCTCCCCCTGTCTTTCTGGTGCTACTGGACTCTTGCTCTTTCCTACTGCTACACAGACTAACACAGCGACCTCTTGATGCTCAGTAGTAAGGGTCGCCGTCTTGTTGTCCTTTCACAGGCCATGCCCGGTTCTCTTCACAAAGACAAACCTTTGCCGATTCCCCCGACGCATCGAGATCTCCCGCCGCCTCCTCCTCCGGACCGGCCACATGCCATAACGGCGTCAGACACGCGGCCTCAGCGGCGGCCCCTGCCGTGCACTCCAGGAGACTGCCCTTCCCGGGACAAGCTGCCCGCCCTGCCTTCCAACCGCCAGGGGGAGCTGTGGCCGTCGCGGCCGATCCCCAAAGCTCTAGGGGTGGCCCTGAGTCCCAGTGAGCCCTGGGCAAATAGGGAGCTGACCAACCGCCACTCGCTCCCGTTCTCGCTGCCTTCCCAGATGGATTCCAGAGCGGACGTTCACCGGCACGGAAGTACCCTCAGCCTGGACACCACCGTGGTAAGTGCGTCCCGGAGCAGCAGGTGGCCACCTCCAGTTTGGTGCAGTGGTTAAGTGAGCCGACGCTAACCTGGGAGAACCGGGTTTATTTTTATTTTATTTATTTATTATTAAATTTATACCCCGCCCTCCCCCGTAGGGCTCAGGGCGGCTTACATGGCGAGAAAAACTTGCTGATAAAAACATCAAATAATTTAGTACATTTAAAAAACATAATATACAATTTAAAAACCCACTCAAACATTAAAGTCATCAAAGTCCACATCACCCATCCCGGAATCTCAGAGAGGACAGCCACATTCACAACCGAACATCCCCCGGTAGGCATTCCATAATGTTAAACAGGCGTTTCTTCCCGCCCTCCTAGGGCCCTGCCCCCCCCCCATGATGGTAATATAGTCAGGGGGGGCGGCGGCCCCTAATCGAAAGCCTGGTGGAAGAGCTCCATCTTGCAGGCCCTGCGGAACTGCATCAGGTCCCGCAGGGCCCGGATCTCCTCCGGGAGCTCATTCCACCAGGTGGGGGCCGCCACCGAGAAAGCCCTGGCCCTTGTGGCGGCCAATTTAGCATCCTTGGGGCCCGGTACAGTTAGAAGATTTTGGGCCCCAGACTGTAGCGCTCTTGGGGGAACATACGGGGAAAGGCGGTCCCTCAGGTAGGCTGGACCCACTCCTCCACTCGCAGCCGCTGGATGACCTTGGGCCAGACGTAGTTCTGACAAGAGCTGTCCTCGAAAGGGCAGTCCTCGAAAGAGCTCTCTCAGCCCCACCCACCTCACAGGGTGTCTGTTGTGGGGAGGGGAAGGGAAAGGGGTTTGTAAGCCGCTCTGAGACTCCGAGTGAAGGGCGGGGTATAAATCCAATCTCCTCCTCCTCCTCTTCTTCTGCTCTTCCTCCTCCTCCTCCTCCTCCTCCTTGTCCCACCCTTGTGCACAACCCTGAAGGCCTACTTAAAGATGGGGTAAACATATTAAATGTCAGATTCACGCCCTAGGGGAATACAGCCCTATTTGTCTGCCTAGAACCTAATGAGATCATTCAGAGCAGTTACTGCCTGACAGCTGGTCTCTACACTTAATTGGGACAGGCTCTCTTTATGCTGGGGTGGGTGGGTTGTGAATGTTTGTACATTCCCCTCCCCCATGTATCAGACGTCACATGTGGTGTGGCCCCGTGGAAATGTATATTTGTGCAATCCTTCCCTGCTGAGTGAGCTTTCTCACCCATTAAGTAGGTCGTTTGCTGGGCCGAGACTTGTACGCAAGCACCAGAGAGGGTCGCGGACAGCTTTGGAAGCTGCCGTTTGGGAGGAGTTGGCTCTTGGAACCATGTGGAGGCACCTTCCGATCCAGGATTCAGTGAAGCATCTCCATAACATGTTTACTTATAAATCACAGAAAACTTTAAGAGCTTTAACAGTTATGGTGTGTCGTGGTTAAGTGCGCGGACTCTAATCTGGGAGAACCGGGTTTGATTCCCCCACTCCTCCACTCGCAGCTGCTGGATGACCTTGGGCAAGCCGTAGTTCTGTCAGAGCTGTCCTTGAAAAAGAGCCGTTTCTGTCAGAGCTCTCTCGGCCCCGCCTACCTCACAGGGTGTCTGTTGTGGGGAGGGGAAGGGAAAGGAGTTTGTCAGGTGCTCTGAGACTCCGAGTGAAGGGCGGGGTATAAATCCAATCTCCTCCTCCTCCTCCTCCCCCCCCTTGGGGCCAGCTTTCTCTGCTTTGCACCCGGTACTGACTCTCATATTACAGGCAAGAGCTTCCTTGAACTACCCCGCCCCACCCCACATTGTCTGGCATTTATTTTTCACAGTACAAGAGCCAGTTCAGGGCTGCAGGAGAAGCAGGGCCAATTCCAGCGCGTCTGTCATAAGAACATAAGAGACGCCAATGTTGGATCAGGCCAAAGGCCCATCCAGTCCAATACTCTGTATCACACAGTGGCCAGAAATACCAGGTGCCATCAGGAGGTCCACCAGTGGGGCCAGGACATTAGAAGCCCTCCCACTGTTGACCCCCCCCCCCAAGCACCAAGAAGACAGAGCATCCCTTGCCCCAGAGCCCCTATCTATACCTTGTGGCTAATAGGCACTGAAAGACCTCTGCTCCATATGCTTATCTAATTCCCTTTTGAAGCCGTCCATGCTTGTAGCTGCCACCACCTCCTGTGGCAGTGAATTCCGTGTGTTAATCACTCTTTGGGTGAAGAAGTACTTCCTTTTATCCGTTCTAACCCAACCGCTCAGCAGTTTCATGGAGTGCCCACGAGTTCTTGTATTGTGAGAAAGGGAGAAAAGTACCTCTTTCTCTACCTGCTCTTTCCCATGCATAATTTTATACATCGTGTCTTAAGCTGTCCTGCTGTCATGTGATGGTTTTATGTCTTCTTACGAGCGGAAGAGAAGCAAGGGCTCAGTGAGTCTGCCTTTTGTTCCAGCCCACCTGCCTGTAGTGCAGCCTGACCCGGCATTTTCTTTCAGACTCAACCCAGTGGGCTTCCAGCCGGCTCGGACAGTGACCTTTCTAAAATGAAACCCTCCTCTTCTGCCAATGCCATCTATTCTCTTGCTGTAAGGTACGTTGTCCAGGGGAGGCTTTTGACAGAAACGTTTCAGAAGTACAGCCAGGCTGCAGGTTTGGAGTTGGTGCTTAACTTTTCGTTTTTCCTGTCAGCGTTTTACCACTTTATGTTAAATTAGAATCCCAGGAGCACCTTAAAAGCCAGCTAGATTTTGGGAGTATGAGCGTCACTCATGAACACACGTGAAGCTGCTTCGTAAGTACAGAGAAGCCTTCACTTTGGCCAGGTGTTCAGCGCTACCCTGAGCGGTTCTCGAGGGTGGGTATAAGGGAATTCCCTTTGCACAAAGGTATTGCCAATGTGGCTTAGGGGAAGTTGAAACTATCACGCATATGATCCTCAGGTGTCCCTGGTACAAGGAGGTCTGCTCCAAATATCTTGAGCCTGGTACAAAACCAAGTCCCAATAGGACGGAATCTGATTATATAAATGACATGTTGTCAGATGAAAATCGGTCCATCTCTAAGGCTGTTGCCAAATTCTGCGCTGTTTGCTGTTGTATTCGAAAAGCCCGCTTAATCGTGTCTTACGCTGATCTCTTGACTCATATTTTATGTAGTTTTGCTTGGTTGTTAGTCCAGGGGTCTTTTTGTAGAAAAAGAGGTGCAGAAGCTCATTAGCATAACTCATTTACATATGCCACACCCCCTGACATCACTGGAAGTGTGTCAGAAGGCAACACCCACCTCTCAGGCTCCACCCCAAAAATCTCCAGGTATTTCCCAACTCACATTCAAACCTGGGTCTCCCAAATCCTTGTCTGAAACACTAACCACTACACAACACTTCATGGGGCAGCAGCTGCTGAGCATTAGCAAGCAGCTGGGCCTGCATGAGTTATGCAAGTTGCATGGTGTCAAGTTGTCCAGTGGCTGCTGTTAGGCCTGACATGCTCTCTTCCCCCTACATTTTACTGACAGAATCAAATGCTTGAAGGCTGGAAATACTGCTGTGTTTGACAAACAATGGCCACTGAGATAATTCCTTTCATATAGCTACAGGTGCTGCTTCTGTTATGGGTGAGGGTTGACTGAACTGGAAATGCTGGTGACTGAACCTGGGACCTTCTGCATGCCACACAGATGCTCTGCCATGTAGCCATGGCCCTTCAGCTGAAACAAATCATATGAATACCTGACAACACTGACCTGCCAGTGGCCAGTGTTAGGTCAATGCTTTAAAAATGTACTTCTTTTTCCATATATCAGAATGCACTCACAAGTGACTGTGATATCACTTGTACTCAGGGGTCGTTTCGTAGAAAAAGAGCTAGGGGAACTCATTAGCATAACTCATTAGCATATGCCACACACCCTGACATCACCATAAGGCCACTGACATCATCAGAAGTGTGTCATAAGGCCACACACCCCGCCCCCAACGGTCCCGGCCGCCGGTGGCGGCCTTGCAGCTCCACTGCCGAGCCCCATGAGGGGCCCGGCGGTGGACCTGCAAGGCCAGCGGGAGTGTAAGGAAGCCCCGCGAAGGCCCTCCCTGGCCCCAGGCAGGCAGGGGTGGGGAGAGGCAGGGAGGAAGCGACTTACCCTCCCTCTTCTGCCTCCTCCTGGCTGAATGAGGGCCGGAAGCGGGGTGGCCGGAAGCAGGGGGCGGGGGCTTCGTCATGTGCCCCGCCCCCTGCACCTCACCCGGGGGAACTGCGATTCCCCCCGAAATGACCTCTGCTTGTACTGTAAAAATATTCAGACATGATGAGCTTATTGAGCATTAAACCCACTCTAAAAGAACATTCATTTGTCATCTAGTTTTCTTTTTATTTGACATGGGTAAACCATGCCTGCAGATTATAGACCAAAACTGAAATGAGTAACACACAATTTCCCCAATTTTTAATTTTTTTAAAAAAGTGTTAAAAGTTGGAACTATTGGAAGGGGAAGTACTTGCCTGGGGCACCACTGGATCTAGGGCTGGTCCTGCATACATGCAGCTGGGATGAATCTGAATTAGCATTACAGAGTGCTCAGGGGTAAAATCTGTAGGAGTCGCCTTGTGTCCTCAGAACAAGATGCTGCAGGGACTGATGGGAAAATAAAATGACAGAAAAACCAAATGGCAGGCAGTTCAATGGTTTAGGGTACTTAAACCCTGTCTTGAGTCACTAAAGTGTGTGCAGATTTGGTTTGGTAAATGTGGCTACCTGCTCTGCATATCAGATGAAAGAAATTAGTTGTTCTCCATGCACACTGCCAAGGGTCCTTGCCCAGGCCAAAATTACTCAGCTCATAGCACCACACGCCTGTGACTAGTAAGCACAGGGACCTTGCAGGTTCCACCAGGATATCACTTACCATCTGCTGATCTTTCTTTATCTATACATAGCTGGATCTTGTGCTGTCATTCCAGTAATTCACAATGTGGGGAGGGGCTTGCCAATGTGTGTCAGTGGTTGAGCAACCAGCCCTGCTTAATACTGTACTGGGAGTTCTGCAAATGAATGCCCAAGCAAGTTTTTTGTTTGTGTCATTTAAAATGCAAATGTGCAGGGCCCAATTTTGCATTGTGATTGTGCTGCAGATTTTTGGGGTTTGTAATTGGTAATCGGTCGATTTTTGTGTATAGACCTCTGTGGTTTAGCCCTGCATCTTCTCTGTTATCACAAAACCGTATATAATGGCACGGTAAAATAATGGGAAAGTGCATTGCTGGCTTTGCGTTACTTTGCTGGTGTTTATCCTCAGAACAAATTTTCGTTCTTTAAAATGCAGCGGTTTTCTTTGGGGGGGGGGGGATGCACTTTATGCAAGAAGAATCAATGAAAGAAAGGAGAATCCCCAGAGCTGCCAGTTGTAAGCAATCTCTGGCCAGTGTCCAAACACAGGGAGTGACAGCTCAGCTAAGATGAAGCGGCCCCCTTTTTGTGCACAGGTTATCTGCTGCTTGGGGCTGCTGTTTTGTAATGCCAGAAGAAGCCTTTGCAGTTAGCACAGTTTAGGATTGTGGGGATTTGGCCTGTGGGTCCAGAAGCTGGCCCAGCAACTCATTTGCTACCGTTTTGCCTTCACTAAGCTTTGTCTTCATGTACACTCTCCCCCCCACCCCACCCCCAATCTGCTTCATCCTGGCAGGCCATTGGCTGCATCAAAGCTGCCCCCCGGAGAGCACTCGGAAAACGCCGAAGACACCGAGTACATGTCGCCATCCTCCCTGCCCCTGGTGCCGCCTGGCCCTGCCGTACCAAAGCTGGAGGCTAAATTGCCTTTGGAGATGACTCCGAGTTCACGGTGAGAAGGCCTGTTCAAGAGAGTGTGCTTGCTTGCCAGGGATTACCTTGCTTGCTTACTCTTTTCCAAGGCCGTTGAGTGGGCCCCAAGGCTTAGATGCGAAGCCCAGTCCAGTTTGCATTCGTAAGAACATAAGAGAAGCCAGTGTTGGATCAGGCCAATGGCCCCTCCAGTCCAACACTCTGTGTCACACAGTGGCCAAAAATACCAGGTGCCATCAGGAGGTCCAGCAGTGGGGCCAGAACTCCAGAAGCCCTCCCACTGTTGACCCCCCAAGCACCAAGAATACAGAGCATCCCTTGTCCCAGACCGAGAGTTCCTAGCTATACCTTGTGGCTAATAGCCACTGATGGACCTCTGCTCCATATGCTTATGTAATTCCCTCTTGAAGCCGTTCATGCTTGTAGCCGCCGCCGCCACCTCTTGTGGCAGTGAATTCCATGTGTTAATCACTCTTTGGGTGAAGAAGGACTTCCTTTTATCCGTTCTAACCTGACCGCTCAGCAATTTCATTGAGTGCCTACGAGTTCTTGCATTGTGAGAAAGGGAGAAAAGGACTTCTTTCTCAACTTGCTCCATCCAATGCATAATCTTATAATCCTCAATCATGTCACCCCTCAGCCGCCATTTCTCCAAGGTAAAGAGCCCCAAGCGCTTTAACCTTTCTTCATACAGAAAGTGTTCCAACCCTTTTATCATTCTAGTTGCCCCTTTCTCCACTTTTTTCAATGCTATAATATCCTTTTTGCCAATTTGGTGTAGTGGTTCAGTGTGCGGACTCTAATCTGGGAGAACCGGGTTTGATTCCCCACTTCTCCACTTGCACCTGGCTGGATGACCTTGGGCAAGCCACAGTTCGGTCAGAGCTGTTCTCTCAAGGACAGTTCTGTCAAGAGCTCTCTCAGCCCCACCTACCTCACAGGGTGCCTGTTGTGGGGAGGGGAAGGGAAAGGAGTTTGTAAGCCGCTCTGAGACTCCTTCGGGTAGTGAAGGGCGGGGTATAAATCCAATCTCTTCTTCTTCTTTTTCTTTTTGAGGTTCATTCATATGAACATGCTGCTGAGCCACTGCTAAACCCCCGCCCCCAAAGTCTAGAGGGAGAGCCTCATGAAGGTCTTGCTCCTTGCCCAAAAGATGATTCCCCGTCAGCAACATTGGCCTCCTCAGATCCTCTAAATGCTTTTTGATTTTGTAAAATCACCCTGATATGACTCTTACCGAGTCGGTCGCCTGTGGTGAGCATTCAGGATCCAGAGCTCTGAAATACGATGACGTGTGCGTAAGCAACCAGCGCTATTCATGCTGGAGAGAATCATTCTAAAGATTACCCCAGCAGAGCAGTCCGCCAGCTCTCCTCCAGTGAGGCATTCTGGCCTTTCGAAAGGAACGTGGCAAAATCTTTTAGTGGTGAATTGTCTCTTCCCTTCCCCCACCGCCAAGCCCAACTACGAATTTGAGTTTGGAGTCAGGGTAGCTGACACTGTTTTGGCAGACAGCTGTAGAGCTTTGTGAGCGATGCAGGGGATGAAAAGAGCACCAGTCCATGATGTACCGGACAGCATGCAGCTAGGATGGTGTTAGTTACATCCATGTACTTTGAGAGCCAGTTTGGTGTAGTGCTGGAGAGAATCATTCTAAAGATTACCCCAGCAGAGCAGTCCGCCAGCTCTCCTCCAGTGAGGCATTCTGGCCTTTCGAAAGGAACGTGGCAAAATCTTTTAGTGGTGAATTGTCTCTTCCCTTCCCCCACCGCCAAGCCCAACTACGAATTTGAGTTTGGAGTCAGGGTAGCTGACACTGTTTTGGCAGACAGCTGTAGAGCTTTGTGAGCGATGCAGGGGATGAAAAGAGCACCACTCCATGATGTACCCGACAGCACGCAGCTAGGATGGTGTTAGTCACATCCGTGTACTTTGTAATCAGTGTTCCCTCTAAGCTGAGTCAGTGTGAGCTAGCTCACAGTTCTTTAGCTTCCAGCTCACAGATTTTTGTCCTAGCTCCAGAGCAAACTAATTTATGCAGCAGCCAAATTGCTTGCTCACAACTTTAATGCTGGTAGCTCACAAAGTGGCATTTTTGCTCACAAGATTCCACAGCTTAGAGGAAGCATTGTTTGTAATGCGGGCCTGTTGCAGGAGCTCGCTGAGTTACCGAAGCAGATGCGTGTTATGTTTTGTGCAGAGTGTTGGAGTGCGACGAGGAACTGGACGGGTGTACTTACGAAGCCATGTTCAACATCCACTCCCAGGCCGGGCCTTCCGGCTCGGAGACAGCCAGCATTCCCGGTGAGTTGCCTGAAGCAGATTTCATGGTGGCATCAAGAGAAAAAGTGTTAGTTTCCTACTGAGCTCTTCCTTTTCCCCGTGCAAGTTCTCTTGACTGCAGAGGGAGAAACCAAGATGCTGTCAAAAGGAAACCGTTTTTGTTAAACAGATGTGTTTGTTTGTGATTCCCACCAGCTCAGTGGCATTTCGAAAGCTTTTCCACGCCCGCTGTTTATTGCACCATTCCTTGCTGTGCCTCTTCCTCTGGTTCGGGGATCTGAATGTTCCCCTTCGCACCATTTCCCCTACAACTGTGTTTCCAGGAAGTGGTGTTAAAGCTAATGGCGTGTGGCCTCTGTCTTTGTTCTTGCTTTAAGAGGGGGGAGACATGGCAGGCGCCAATGCAAGCAACGGACCTGAAGAGTCAGAGAACGAAGAAGATGGTTACGACGTGCCCAGGCCTCCCATCCCCTTGACTGTGGCTCGTCGCACGCTGTCCGATATCTCCAATGCAGCCTCTGCCTTCAGCCGTGTGTCGCTGGACGGGGATGCTCTCACAGGTGCTTAATCTCAGCATTTGCCGTTCTGCCCAGTGGTGGGTGATAATCCTGAGAGGCAGGAGGGAGAGAGAGAGAGAAAAGGGGAGATGGATGAGGAGAGGCTGAGTGAGCTGTCTGTATCAGTTTGCACATTTTTTACAAAAGGATCAAAATTTGTTCACCTCTGAGATAAGGGCAGACGGAGCAGTGGGCTCCCGTTTCAGGAGCCAGAGATAACTCCAGTTTTAGGAAGCCTTTCTAGTCTGCAGGATCCAGTTGCATACTGGGAAAGACTGCCAAGAAAGGCTGTGGAATCGGCTTTCTTGGATCCTTTCTGCCGGGCCTCTTTGACAGGTGCTGGGCACGACCCACAAATGTGCAGCCATCACTCAGCGACTGCAGCATTCGGTGTTGACTTGATTGTGTGAATGAGTTTGTTTTTACTGGGAGTCAACATTCGCATGCAGCTGCTGTCTGGCCCTTAAACAGTGAAGGGAAGAAGAAGAGATTGGATTTATACCCCGCCTTTCACTACCCGAAGGAGTCTCAGAGCGGCTTACAAACTCCTTTCCCTTCCCCTCCCCACAACAGACACCCTGTGAGGTAGGTGGGGCTGAGAGAGCTCTGAGAAAACTGTCCTTAAGAGAACAGCTCTGACAGAACTATGGCTTGGCCAAGGTCACCCAGCAGGTGCAAGTGGAGGAGTGGGGAATCAAACCCGGTTCTACCAGATTAGAGTCCGCACACTTAACCACTACACCAAACTAGCTGGTGCCTTCTGGTCGGTCAAAGCTGTTCCCAGCTTTTAGCCAATCACCGTAGCCCCACCTTCAAATCCACAATTTAAGAGAAAAAGGGAGAAAATGAACTAACAGCGATGAGAACTGAGTGGGAAAGGTATTTTCTCCTCCCTTTGACGCACGAACACATTTAACTGCCTGACAGTGAGTCAGACCTTTGTTCTGTCCACGTCGGTCTCGTCTGCTCTGACTGGCTGTGGCTCTCCAGGGTCTCGGGCAAAGGTCTTTCGCGTCACCTCCTACCTAAACCTTTGCAACCGGATATGCCAGGGACTGCACAAGGGGACCCTCTGCACGTGAATTAGATGCCCTAGAGAGCTGTGTTGTGGTTCGAAGTGCAGACTATAATGTGGGAGAGCCGGGTTTGATTCTCCCGCTCCTCCACATGCAGCTGCCGGTGTGACCTTGGGTCAGTCATAAGTTCCGTCAGAGCTGTTCTCTCACGGGCAGTTCTCGAGAGAGCTCTCTCAGCCCCGCCTGCCTCTGTTGTGGGGAGGGGAAGGGGAAGGAGACTCCTTTGGGTAGTGAAGGGCCATGGGGTATAAATCCAATCTCTCCCTCTTCTTCTTCTCTACCATGCTAAGCCACAGGCATTCCCCAGCGTCAGAGCTTTTGCCCTAAGGGAGACTCTTTTGGCACCATGATCATGAGCCAGGGCTGTAGAATCATCCAGCGCTATTTCTGCTTAGGGGCCGAGCCCCTTGACAGGACAAGACTGCACAGAGACCGTGGAGAAGGACAGGTCAGTAGCCCCTTGGGCTTCTCTGCAAGAGGAGTCACCTTGAACCTTGGAAGCCTGATCGGAACCCATGCAAACTCCAGACTTGGATTCATGTGTTCAGCCGCCGGAGGGAGAGGAGTGCTCTCTTGCGCCCTTGTCCTCTCCCTCCCCTCCCCTTCCCTCCCCTCCCCGCTGTTCCCGTCCCTCACGTGGCTCTTTCTTCTTCAGGTTTCTCCGAGAACTCCCAGGTGCCCGAGAGGCCCCCGAAGCCCTTGCCGCGGAGGATAAACTCCGAGCGGAAAGCGGGCAGCTGCCTGCCGGGGGGCATGGCCGGGCCCATGGCCGCCTCCGCCTCCCCCCAGCTCTCCGGCGAGATCGAGAACCTCATGAGCCAAGGCTACTCCTATCAGGACATCCAGAAAGCGCTGCTCATCGCCCACAACAACATTGACATGGCCAAAAATATCCTCCGGGAGTTTGTCTCCATCTCCTCCCCCGCCCACGTGGCCACATAGCGCACCCCTCGCCCCCGCTTGGGACACTCCTGCGCATCGACCCGCCTGGGCCATCTCCCGCCCAGCTGATAACGAGGAGGAGGTTGACAGGCTCCTTGAGAGACTTCCCGCGAAGTCCCACCTGCCTCTACAGAGAATCGGTCGTCAGGGTTTTATGCGATTCCAGGTTTCAAAGCAAGCAGAGCGAAAGGGAGCGGAGAGGTGTCTCTCCTACAGTCTGTGTGTGTCTTTCAGAGTCGTCCCGCCCGCCCCCGCTCCCCCGCTCCTGTTTTCTAGCTTGCCTATGCGGAAGGGTTCTCCGCTCCCGTGCTGGCGGGCCAGGGGTCGAGGGGGTGTGTCTCGTGCTGTGAATACAAACCGGATGTCAGTGTGTCGAGTGGCGTCTCTAGGCTGAGTGTGGTGTGTCGTCGGTGGTCCCCCCCCTCCCAAACCATGGCTCACGGTACTAGATTTGGGCCATTTCAGTTTTGTGTCTTTTGGCTCAGGCTTTGTAGAGCATCTGCTGCCGGGTACAGATTCTCCACCGAGGGAGCGGTTTCAGTGGCTTCCTCCTGCGTTGATATCCCCCCCCCCCCCTTCTCCGCACGCAAACCTTGCTCCCCCCTCCCCCCCCCCCCTTACGTCTGATGTCAGCTCTTGTCCACTGCCTTCTTGCTGTTCTGGATCCCGCGGTCAGCAGTGCCTTCCACCCCTTGGGCCTGGAGGCCTTGGAGAGGCTGCACCTCCTTGCCCGTATCGGGGTTCTTGTTTCTTGAGAACCAGGTGCTGCCGAGCGCTTGAGCGTTAGATGCTTCAGTGCATGGCCCGTGGCGGATCTCAGCAACCCCCCCCCCCCCGGGGGCTGTGGCTCTTTGACACAATGCATCGCCTTAGCCGCACTGAGAAGCCTCGTGGCCTGCCGCCCTGCCCTGCCCTGCCCTCTGTTTGGAGAGTGGTCAGAGGAAGGAAGTCAGCCAGGAGCCCCTGATGGAAATAGGTAAGTGTGGAAGTCCTAGACAGGTTTAGCAGTCACCTTGCAACTTCCTGGGGGCTTTTGTGTCCCTTCCTTCCCCCCGCCCCTCCGTGTAGCATCCCAAGAACGTTCGGCTCCTTCGCTAGACAACAGTTCCAAAGAACGATGAGATGACTGCAGAAAGTGCCCTCTGCCCTTGTTTACGTCTGACACGGACTCAGCTCAGAGCAAGTTTGATGGAGTCTGAGGCCAGCCACGCATTCGGGACACGACAGCTGCTGTCTGGGCCGCCTGCCGTCAAAGGACACTTCCCACTTTTCCCCCATCTCTTTACAGGCTGCCTTTAAATAGTCTCCTCTGCTGATGTACCGTGAACCACAACGATCTTGAGAATATCTTTGCATGTTTGGTTCCCCCTGCATTTGCCCGTCCCAACAGCACTGGCTCCAGAGGACCACACCTCTTTTCCACAGGGCGGGGCTTAGCTCGTAGAGAACGGGCTCCCTACTCAATCGGCAGCCTTGCGTGGCGACAGGCGTTTTGTCTGGGTCTGGACAGGGACTAACAAGAGTGGAATGCCAGAGAAGTTCTACATGGGGTGGCGTTCTGGGGGCAGTCAGCGATGCCACTTTCCAGTGCCAGCTGACACGGTCTGAAGACCGCAAGAGAAGTCGGCTGCCACCACCCGGGACGCCCTTTGAAAGAGCTGCTTCCGAGATGCTGCCGAACCCCCGTTTCACCACCCCCACCGCCCAGCTGGGAGGGCTTTTGCCTCTGTGTCCCATTCCACATACAAGAAGTCTGTGGGTCAAACGTAGCATGTATTTCTGACGGACCTTTTCTATAAGAAGTCTGTGGGTCAAACGTTGTAGCATGTATTTCTGACGGACCTTTTCTGCATGTGTCCTTTTTGTCCACTTCCGGTGTCTTAAAATTTACATGGTTTTTCTCCCCACCCCCACCCCCCCAAAGTGGCTTTCTCTCTGAACCACGTGAATGTCTTCGTTTGCAAGCACAAAGGAGGCCGCGCCGAGCGCCGAGGTGTGTTTCCCTGCTGCTCTTAAGTTCTTGACTCTTTCGTCGCCCTTCTGCCCGATGCCTCTTAATCTAAAGCCAAATGTTTAGTGCCTTGCAACGGGGTGGGGGGGGGGGGGGGGGGGGGGGGACACACACTCCCTTCCCCGGGAGGAGAGAGGAGCCGAAACGTCACCAGGGAACAGGGAGTGGCGGCCCCAGAGCTGGTTCCGCCAGAATAAGATTGTCCTGCCCTGGCTTCTGCTGCCCTGAACGTGGCTTGAAGGCACTGCATCCCTGAGAGAGGTTTTTCTTGTTTGGTTGTCCTGAGGGTTGTCAGGTCCCCCGCCCACCCGCCCTCCGGTGATGCAGGGCCAGGGCTCGATCCCCCAGGAACTCGTCCTGCGCAGTGTGCAGTGGCGCAGCTGCGCAGCTCCCAGGGGGCGCACGAGGAGCTTCATGTGGGTTTTGCTCCGGAGAGTATCCAGCGCCTGCTCTGTCACAGCTGCCTCCCCACACCTCAGCCGGCACTCACCTTTGGGGAGCCCGGGTGTGGCTGGATGCATGTCACCTGTCTGGCAGCCTGTGTTGGGGGCAGAGTCGCTTCCTGCCAGGGGCTGTTTTAGTCAGCTAAGGGGAACAGAACACGTCGTCTGTACGGCTAAAACTACGAAACGAAGGAAGCCGAAACGCCGAGTCTGAAATCGCCTCCGGTGGGTGGCGGAGCCGGGGCCGAGGGGAGCTTTGTTTGTCCCGAAAGCCGAGGACCGTTTTTTTAATATCAGTGTTAAAAAGTTTCAGAGTTCCACTGACTTATTTTAAAAGTTATAATAATGTCATTAATATAAAAAAAATATATTAGCAGTATTTAATCCTTTGAGACCTGTAAAGAATAAGGACAGAAGGTAAATATTCTTACAGAGTAGCTGAGCTTTAAGGTTCATTTGGTCTAAGAAGTCCTCATTTTGTTCTGCAAATGCATTGTTAAATGTTTTAGAGGTTATACTAATGTTATTTATTTTCTTGTTTTTCATTCTTGTAAGCTGCCCACTAAAGAGCTTGGAGGGGGGGGGAAGAGGGGCCCGGGGGTCCCATGTGTGTCAGTAAAAGAAAATCAGAAACAAAGTTTTATTTTTAAATAAATTTCTTTGTTGTAGCATATTGGCCATGTTCTGTCAATTGGGAACGCCAGAGAAGGCGGGACTCATTGTCCCGATCAGTTGCCGTTTCAGCCATGGTGTGTTCAAGGTTCACAGTGGCCCAGGAGGTCCTTGTCCTCCCTTACAAGTCAGTCTCTGGATCTATGCTCTGTCAAGACACACGCAGGCACACCATAATGTCCCTGAGCACGCCCAGCGGTGAGGCGCAAAGTCCCCCATTCTTGAGAGCATCGTCCTGGCTTTAAGAACATCAGAGAAGCCAATGTTGGATCAGGCCAATGGCCCATCTAGTCCAACACTCCGTGTCACACAGTGGCCAAAAATACCAGGGGCCATCAGGAGGTCCACCAGTGGGGCCAGGACACTAGAAGCCCTCCCACTGTTGCGCCCCTCCCCCCAAAGCACCAAGAATACAGAGCACCACTTGCCCCAGACCGAGAGTTCCTATCTATACCTTGTGGCTATACCGATCTCACCAGCCACTGATGGACCTCTGCTCCATATGCTTATCCGATTCCCTCTTATAAGAACATAAGAGAAGCCAATGTTGGATCAGGCCAGTGGCCCATCCAGTCCAACTCTGGTGACACACAGTGGCCAAAAAGACCAGGTGCCATCAAGAGGTCCAGCAGTGCGGCCAGGACACTAGACGCCCTCCCACCATTGCCCCCCCCAAGCACCAAGAATACAGAGCATCCCTTGCCCCAGACCAAGAGTTCCTATCTATATCTTGTGGCTAATAGCCACTGATGGACCTCTGCTCCATAGGTTTATCCAATTCCCTCTTGAAGCCGTCCATGCTTGCAGCCAGTTTGGTGTAGTGGTTAAGTGTGCGGATTCTAATCTGGGAGAACCGGGTTTGATTCCCCACTCCTCTACTTCCACCTGGCTGGATGACCTTGGGTAAGCCGTAGTTCTGATAAGAGCTGTCCTTGAAAAAGAGCAGTTCCTGTCAGAGCTCTCTCAGCCCCACCTACCTCACGGTGTCTGTTGTGGGGAGGGGAAGGGAAAGGAGTTTGTAAGTCGCTTTGAGACTCCTTTGGGTAGTGAAGGGCGGGGTATAAATCCAATCTCTTCTTCCTTTCAGTCATCTCTGCCACGGAGAGGGAACGATCAGGTCCAACTGTACATTTGACACTGTCTGGGAGCCGAGCTAGGCTTCTACGGCTTGGGTCTCAGTGTTCCCTCTAAGCTGAGTTGTCATCTCTGCCACAGAGAGGGAACGATCAGGTCCAACTGTACCTTTGACACTGTCTGGGAGCCGAGGTAGGCTTCTAGGGCTTGGGACTCAGTGTTCCCTCTAAGCTGAGTTTGTGTGAGCTAGCTCACCTTTTTTTTAGCCCCTGGCTCTCACATTTTTGTCTCCGCTCAGGAAGAGCTCCAGAAAACACTAACTTATGCAGCGGCCAAATGGCTCGCTCACAACTTTAATGCCAGGAGCTCACAGTATAGAATTTTTGCTCACGAGACTCCACAGCTTAGAGGGAGCACTGCTTGGGGATGTGGACTGCGCAGCCCCTTTCATCGTCATCCTCTTTGCTAGACGAGCTCTTGTTCTGTGAAGCCCTGGCACAGAGCACCCAGGGCCAGCCCGATCTCACCAGATTTCAGAAGCTAAGCAGGATCGACCCCGGTTAGTATTTGGACAGGCGCTCTCCGAGGAAGTTCATGGTGGCTGTGCAGAGGCAGGCCATGGCCAACCACCTCTGTTCCGTTTCTTGCCTCGAAAACCCAGCAAGGGAGTCCCCATTAAGTCTGTTGCAACTGGATGGCTAGCTGATCTCGCCAGATTTCGAAGCTAAGCAGGGACGGCCCCGGTGACTACCTGGGTGGGAGACGGCCAAGGAAGTCTAGAGCCGCTATACAGAGGTAGGCCATGGCAGGGGTCGTTTCGTAGAAAAAGAGCTAGGGGAACTCATTAGCATAGCTCATTAGCATATGCCACACCCCCTGACATCACCGGAAGTGTGTCATGAGGCAACACCCACCACTGTTAGTCTTAGTCTCAAAGGTTAGTCTTAAAGGTGCTATTTGTTAGTCTTAAAGGTGCTATTTGAACTCTTGGACTATTTTGCAGCAACAGACTAACAGCTACCTCGGGGAAGCTCCTGGATGGGGCTGTGAGTCCTTGCGAAGGCCACGTGGAGGGGCCTCGGCCAGGCAGAGGGGGAGGATGCCAACTTACCCTCCTGCGTCTTCCTCCTTCTGCAACAGAATGAGGCTGGAAGAAGGGGGCAGCCGGAAGAAGGGGCGGGGCTTCGTCGTGTGCCCCGCCCCCCTGCACCTCACCCGGGGAAACTGCGATCCCCCACGAAATGACCTCTGGGCCATGGCCAACCACCTCTGTTCACCATCCCTTTCCCTTGAAAACCTTATTGGGTCACCATAGGTCAGCGGTGATTTGACGGCCTTTTCCACCAGCATGAGTCTTCTACAACTGAAGTTTGGGCTTTTTCTGTTTTTTTCAAAAGAAAGATTTCTTTTAAAAAGACCACAATAGTGCCCCACAACTGAATGTAGAGCGAGCAGCCTACCTATGTAGAGCAGCCTACCTGTCTAGTAGCCCCCTGGCCTGCTGGACAGGTAGAACAACTGTCGTCAGGCACGATGGCAGCACACATCTAGGTAAACTTACTTCCTCGTTGCTCCATCAACGAAGGTTAATGAATCGGGCTGGGGATTTCCCCACCTTTGCGGAGCCCTGAAATCATGGTGCGGGAGAGCCCTGCCAACAAATACACCTAGAGAGTAAAACCATTTGTCACAAAAAGCATTCCATCTCAGCCTAAAGAGGAAGCTTAATGCAGAAGTGTGACATGATTCTAATGGCGGGGCACTTTTACACTAAGTGACGCTCTTTCAATCCACTTTGCAGCTGGATTTTATTGTGTGAAATGGCAACATCTGCTTGCAAACGGTCGCAGAAGTGGATTGAAACTTCAGGTGAAAGTGTGTGAAAGCGTCACAGAGGCTGAGACTTTCCCCTGATGTTGCCTCCTGGCTCTGGGTTTTGAACGTGGAGGTTCTCCTCCGTGTCCATGTAGCCACTGATAGACTTATCCTCCATGAATCTATCGAATCCCCTTTTAAACCTAATAAGAACAAGAATCCTGCTGGATCAGAGTGCCGGCTGGTGGATGCTCCTTCGCTGGACGTGTTCAAGCGGAGGCTGGACGACCACCTTTATGTCGTAGGGCTGTCTTTCGGCTCTGCTCCTGCAGAGTGCAGGGGGTTGGACTAGATGACCTGCAAGGTCCCTCCCAACTCTAACATTCTACGATTCTGTCCTGCCTCACACAGTGGCTGCAGGGCACCTCTGGAGGACCAACAACTCCCCCAATGCTTTCACACACACTAAGTAACACACTTTCAATCCACCTTGCAACTGGATTTTACGGCATGAAATGGCAAAATCCACTTGCAAATGGCCACTGAAGTAGATTGAAACAGCATTATTTTGCACGTGTGAAAGCTCAAGTGAAATGTTTCGTGAATAAAAGCCGTCTCCCTGCAGTGTTTGCTCTTCCCCTTCCTGTGTGACCACAGCAAAGAGCCAATGCCCGAAAGACCTTTTAAACTTTATTTTCATATACATATATAACATATATAAAAACACCCTGCAACTCAGACACTCTTAAATTTACACACACATCAACAAAAATATATATATAAAACAAAAGCTTTTGTTTGTTTGATAACTTTCTAGCTTACAAGATAAAGTACAACGTTCCCTTCTCTCCCTGGGATTTTTGGCGTTAACGATTTTGCCCGTCGATTGAACTGTACAGGAAATGTTGCCTAAAGTACAATCTGCAATTCTTGCCTCTTTTTTTTTTTTTTTACACCATAGAGTCTGTTCCGCTGCTGTTGTTCGGGGGAATTAGAAAAGCAACCTCTACGAAAGGGAGCGGGTGCTTTGACTCTACTTTTGTGTTTGCCCATTTAAAACTGAAACTGGTGCGGGAGGGAGGGAGAAAGAGAAGCAGAAAACTTTGGGAGCCGCGATAGAGGAGGGGGCCTCTTGCTTCTGGCAGCACATTATTAAGGAGACCGTGTTTGCGACACCTTGGTTTGCGTTCAAGTGCCACCTTCTCTCAAGTTTTCCTCATGGCATCTGCCCAGGTTCTTGAAGAAGGGGGGGGGGAATTCAAGAAAAGACAAGATAGAAGTCTCTACTTCTGCTTGGCATCCATTTCTGTGCCTCGAAGTTTCCCCAAAGTCTCGACAAGTGCTTCACAGACGTGAACCTGCACATTGTTATTTTTTTGGGGGGGGGGGGGAGACGGGGAGGACACCAAGAACAGATGGGACTTTTGGGACAAAAAGGAAAAAATGAAATGTGCCGATGAACAGTTTGGTACAAAAGGGAGACCTTGTTGCTATCGTAGTTGCTACAGTGCAGGGAAAGACCCTTTCGTGTGCTCTCTTAACTCTTACATAGGTTTACCCAGAAGTAAGTCTTCCTGCCTTCGTCAGGGCCTTACTCTGAAACAGAGGGATGTGTGGGGGATGGCAGCTCCACATAGCCAATATAGGGAAGTGCCTTTCCAACCATGTCTTCCGCTGTGTGCCTTGCCCGCACAAACGAAGCGCTGAGTGAAAAAGCCACTGTCTTTCTGCAGTGCCGCAGCGCAAACCCAGGGTAAAAACCCGAGCCGCTCCCCTGCCATTCTCCCGTTCTGCGCCTTTAGCTGAAGTTTGCTCACTTATAGGACTAAGCTTCAGCAGTTGGACAAAGAGTTCCAATTATAAGCAGAGATGTGCCCAACTCGGCCTGGCAGGTATTGACATTTTTAGGGTCTGCTTTAGAAATAAGAGCAACCCAGAGGTTGCAACAGCAAATACTAAACTTTTTTCGAGCACGTTTCCCTACGGTTCGGCTCTGTAACAGGGATGCAATCCCTTCTTAAATCTTTTTTTTTTTGGGGGGGGGGTGTCTGGAAGGAAGCCCTGTCTGCTTGGACTCATCTGGCCACCCATTCGAATCCTCCGGGCTGCTCAGCGTCCCTCCGTGTAGATCCATTTCGTGCACTTGCGGTGCTGAGCTTGAAGGACTTCGGCTGCTTGTCAGTGGGGGGGGGGCAGAGGCAGTCAAAGGGACAGGAGAAGTCATGGGGGGTGGGGGAAGCACAGCGTGGTCTCTCTTCCTCAGTTCCTCAGGTCGATGTATTTCTCTCCCTTTTAAGGCGGCAAAAGGAAAAAAAAGTTACAAAGTGCCTAGGAAAACACTTTTAGAAGCCTCTTACAAATTTGCCAGTGTCGGGGAAACGCTAGGTTGTCAGGGGAGGGTGACGGCAGCCATTGCGTTAGTGGACACTGGACATGGAGACGGAGGAAAATGCATGCTGGTGGGTTTCACGTCTTGGCACTGGCAGACTCTAGCCGTCTAGTCCCGACGGATCTTTGCTCTACAAAGGCACAGTGACTAGAGCAGGCAGGAAGAGGGAAGCACTGTTAGCAGACGGAACGAGAGGCGCGGAGGGAAAACGTGCTTCGTGTTCACGCAGTGTCAGACAGAGCACAGGAAGCGGCTACGTGTTGTGCCTTTGTCGCAGACAGGCGGTGGTGCGAAGCATTTGCGGATGTACCTTGCGGGACGGGGCCTGCTCCAGGTTTTGGGGGCCCCCGTTTGCTCTCCCCACCAGGGCCTTCCTTCCCACCCCCAATGCCTGCATGCCCCCCCCTCATGCGTTCTTCTCCCACTTGCAGATCTGGCCACCGCCAATGCTCCCTCTAAACAGTGGAGTCTTGTGAGCAAGAATCCTGCTTTGTGAGCTCCTGGCATTAAAGTGGTGAGCAAGTGACTTGGCGCCTGCATAAAGTAGTTTGCTCTGGAGCCATCCTTCCTGAGCTGAGACGAGAACGTGTGAGCCGGAGGCTAAAAAACTGTGAGCTGGCTCACACTCACTCGGCTAGAGGCAACACTGGCCCCCACCGCCCAGACTCAGTTGCCCGCACCAGGAGTGTGCCACCCGTGTGAGCCACCCACAATGCCCTTCCTTCAGTGACTCGGGGGAGATGACAACACAGGAACAGACCGGGGGTGGGGGGGCAGTGTTCCCCCTAAGCTGAGTTAGTGTGAGCTAGCTCACAGGTTTTTAGCCTCCGGCTCAGAGATTCTTGTCTTAGCTCAGGAAGGATAGCTCCAGAGCAAACTCATCTATGTAGTAGCCAAATCTATGCAGTAGCTGGCTCGCAACTTTAATGCCGGTAGCTCACAAAGTAGAATTTTTGCTCACAAGACTCCACGGCTTAGAGGGAGCACTGGTGGTGGTGGTGGGGGGGTCAGCAGCAGTGTGCCCCACCAGAAATCCTGCTCCCTGGTGGCCGCCCCACCTCAGGGTATGCGGACGCTGGCCCTGCTGAGGAAGGTGGCTTCGTGCCCGTACTCGGATGGAAGATGCTTTGGGCCCCAGGGAAGCCCTGTGAGAAAACCACAGCAGAGGTGGAGGCAAAAAGCAAGGACTGCGGTAGATGGGTTTCTTCCCACTTAGACGTCTGACCAGTGCCAATCGTTCAGCTTTTCACATCTTGATTCCCAGAATCTTCGGGGAACCTTTAAGCAAATGCTGAGGGCTCAGCACGGAAGACGGTGGGGGACACAGCAAGAGAGCCCCGCTAAAGGCCGCTAAAAGGGGGGGGAGGCTGGCTCAGGAGACAGTCCCCCCAAAAACCCCTCTGGGGGAAGGGAGGGAGTGTCATGCAATGTGGGATTGGGGGGGGGAGGATGGAAGGTTCCCCAGGACTTGCACGAGGGAAGCCAGAATGGCCTCCGTGCTGCTCTCGGCTGCACCACCTGCCTTCTGCACGGGCGGGCGGGAGTGTCATGCAATGTGGGATTGGGTAGGGGGGATGGAAGGTTCCCCAGGACTTGCACGAAAAGCACCGAGAACAGACCCCACTGCTGGCCGCTGCAGCCGGCGAGGGTGATCCGGCCTACCTGGTCGCCTGCCGATTTCTTCTCGCCGTTGGCGCCCTGCAGGAGCCCCGCCTCTTCTGGAAGTTTATCTGACTTAACTTCAACTACAATCTCGTCTTTGTGTGCTTCGGGCCTTGTGCTAGGGAGGGAGGGAGGTTGACAGTGTTGAGAGAACTCCGAGCAGGCCCCTAGGGGGGCGATGGGATGTGAGGTGTCGGGGGTGGGGGGAGCTTTAAAAGGGAACAGCAGACTGGCGGGATCACTCGCTCCCCCCCCCACCTTCCCCCAAGCCCTGGTCCGACTGTCTGCTCTGTTCTCCTCCGGATGACACCCCCTGTCTGGTTCCCTTTAGGCTAATTGGGTTCTTGCGGGAGCGTGATCTTTCCACTCCCTCCAGTTCTGAGATGGAACGCAGACAAACCCACCTGAGCTGAAAGCAGTAGAACGTTTGGGCCCCTCAAGTATGTCCCCCACCCCTGACACTCTGCAGGTTTTGTTGTAAGCAGTTGTTTGGCCACCTGAGGATACCACAGGGGAGAGTGTGACCGATTCCCACAAGCCGCTGCTCCGCGCTCGCTCTTCCCTTTGCCCTGATTGTACGTGTCAATTTCGCACTCTGTGCCGCGCGGCCACATTTTGCCCCACAGCTTCGCCCGATTTCCCCCGCGTTGACTCAATCCTAAAAAAAACAGGATTGAGTAGACGCGGGGGAAATCGGGCGAGGCTGCGGGGCAAAATGCGGCCACACGGCACAGAGTGCGAAATTGACACGTGCGATCGGGGCAAAGGGAAGAGCGAGCGCGGAGCAGCGGCTTGTGGGAAACCGGTCTGTGTGTAAACCACATCCGAGGTACCACCTTCCACGCCTCCCCCTGTCCAGGTGCAACTTTTGGGTTGTTCCAGCTGGAGCTGATGGGGAAGCCCTATTACCCTGGCTGGAAGTATTTGAGCGCCAGAGGGCAAGCTGTAGGGTCTGGAGTGGACAGGGGTGAAGCTGTCCAAGGTCTCTCCCGACACTGCCCACCATGAGTTACAAAGAAGCGAGCTGCTCGGTGCTATGAAATGGGGAAGCGTGGACTGTGGTGGGCAGAGGGGAAGGGAGGACAGGAGACGCAGGCGCGGAAGGGGCAGCGGCGGTGCTTACATCTCTTGTTTGCCGGAGCGCCCGCAAGGGAGCTTTCCTTTCTTGTGCAGGAAGTAGAGGACCGCCCCCAGGACGGCAATCACCAGGATCCCGACCACGACCGCCACGATGATGACGCCTTTGCTCTCTCGCGCCTCTTTATCTGCTCAGGTGGAAACAGACAACACACACAGAGTCACGCTTCTTGAACCCAGCCGTCCCCTCTCCACCGTCCCTTGGCTTCCTCCCAAAGCTTAGCGTGAGCCTGGAACACAGACGGGCATGCCTCTCGCTTTTGAGTGCTGTGTAGGCCGCCTCCACACCGGCTTAGAGTTCTGGCACCCCTCATGTCCGGGGGTGGGGGGTGGGGGGAGAGAAAATTGCAAACCCCTGGCTTCAGAACACCCACAGTCTCTGCCGGTATTGCTGTGCCGTTCGCAGGCTGCCTTGGAAGAGCTCGCCAGCATTGGGAGGAAGAGGGGCGGGGAGGAGGGAGGCGTGTCGGGAGAAGTCTCACAACTTGTCCAGAGGCAAAGAGGACAGGAGGTGGTTTTAGGAGCACCGGACGACAGCACAAAAAGTTGGCAGCAGGGGCACTTCTTGGATCACGTAGCAAAGCCGCTACTCTCCCCCAACCAGGCTAAACGGTCTGCCTGAGGAGGAGTGGGAATCGTGTTTTTGCGTGTGTGTGCCAGATTCCATGACACTGTAGAAAAGCCATGTAATGTGGCACGATGTGCAGAATTCAGCTTGCCTGAGAACCTCTGCTTTTTAAGGTTTCCAGCACTTACAAGCTTTGGTGCTAGGCTTGGAAGTATAATCTGGCCAATACCTGGCGAACTCGCACAGACATCAGAGAATTTCAGAAGCTGAATAAAATTTTGGGAAGGGGCAGAGTATCAATGGCCTAGGTGATTCCTTACCCCTTTCCCAGAATCAGCAGGGGGAAATTTGCAAAATAAGGTAGATCATGCAGATTTGCAACAGTTTCCACAGCTTTTCCTTTTTGCGGAACCAGGATTACTGTAATGCAAAACCTTTTGTTCTCTCTGTCCCCCTTTTAAGCAGAGTTCAGTCAGCCAAAGCTAGTTTCTCTTGAATTGCGACTCACGGGGTTGTCCTAGAAAAGACTAAAAGGCGGTAAAGAACATGCGTTGAGCAGGGTGGCTGGATTTAGGCCATCAAGGAACTGCGCCGCATCAATATGGCTGCGCTGGGGGGGGGGGGGGGTTTTTTTTTGGATACCTGTTTGGGTGTAGTTTCCGGCTGTACCATTCTGTACCACCGTATGATTGTGGGGCACTGCTGTCTGGTTGGGCCCAACGTCTGTGACGTTTTCAGCTGTCCCCTCCGGTAACCCTCCATAAGTCTGGGTTGTTGCTGTCTGGTTGAACCCAACAGCTTTCTCCGTGCTGTTTGCAGCTGTACCCGTGGGTACGCCTACAGGCGTCTGGGTTGTTGCTGTCTGGTTGAACTCAACAGCTTTCTCCGTGACGTTTCCGGCTGTACCCTCATGTACCCCTCTGTGAGTCTGGGTTGTTGCTGTCTGGCTGAACCCAACAGCTTTCTCTGTAATACCAGCAGCTGTGCCCTGGGGTACCCAGCCAGGAGTCTGGGTGACTGTCTGGTTGTACCCAGCGGCTTTCTCTGTGACTTTTCCAGCTGTGCCCTTGGGTGCCCATCCAGGAGTCTGGGTGACTATCGTCTGGTAGAACCCAACAGCTTTTCCTGTGGTGTCCCCAGCTGTGCCTTCATGCACCCATCCGTAGAACTGGGTTGTTGCAGTCTCGCTGAACCTGAATCTCGACACTTCGTTGTCTTGACGAGTCGGGGTGGGGAAATAGCCAGAGAGGTCGGGCAAGTGGCAAAAGGGAGGCAGTGCTGGTGTTTAGTGCACAGCCCTGTTCGAAAAGCCCGTCCGGCTTTGTTTTAACAAAGGGGGTGCCAGCTTGCAGCAGCAGGTGATAGACTCTAACCGCAGCCAGCCTCTCTGCGTGGGAAATGCACCTTTTGATTCCAGCTTGCAACGGGAGACTGCCTGCCTTTACTTTCGGCTGACTGGCTGTCTCTTTCCGGCCCTTTCAGTCACTATAGATAGACCCACCGTGTCTTAATGGTTGTACTAGTAAAGAGAGAAGGCGGGCCTCTCGAGGGGTAAAAAACACTGCAGCCTTCTAAAAACATACCTTCTAGACAAGGATTAACGGTGAAAGTGTTCCCCATCTGCCTTTGCATCTGATCTTTTCTGTCCTAGCACTGCTTTTTGCTCTCTTACATCCTATCTTAGATAGGGGCAGGGGTCATTTCGTAGAAAAAGAGGTGCAGCTCATTAGCATACTCATTAGCATACCTCATTAGTATATGCCACACCCCCTGACATCACCGGAAGTGTGTCAGAAGGCAACACCCACCGCTCAGGCTCCACTGGACTGTTTTGGATTCCTAGCTATTGGAGGGGGGGGGGCGTGCAGATCTGTCCTCATAGAGGAGGGAGAGCTGATACCTGAATAAAACTTGGACTTAAAGGTGCCACTGGACTGTTTTTTTGGGGGAGGGCTCTGCAGCTTACCTAGCTGCTTCTTGCTCTGACTGAGGGCTGCTGGGAGCAGGGGGTGGGGCTTGTTGCATGTGCCCGCCCCCTGGGCTCTTTACTGCCGGAGCTCTGCTCCTGTGCGCCCCTGCAGGAAATGACCCCTGGATAGGGGGGAAGGGCTGAAGCCAGAGATAAAAACTGTTTTGCATGGATTTTTTCAGCAGGAGGTGGTGGTGGAAAATTCTATCAAGCTGCAGCTGATTTATAGTGGTCCCGTAGGGTTTTCAAGGCCGGAAACATTCATAGTCGGCTTGCCACTGCTTGCCTCTGTGGACCTGCTCGGTGGCCTCCCATCCAAGGACTAATCAGGGTTGACCCTGCACAATTTCTGAGATCTGATCATATCGGGCTCACCGGGGCCACCAGGGTCAGGGAGACATTGCTTTTGATAGCCACGATTCCTTGGGAGCTAAGCCTCAGATTTAAGTCAGCTCAGCTATAATGCTTCAGATGCAAATGTATGTGTGTATCGGATGAGGCCTGCATGCTCTCGAAAGCTCATACACAGAATTAAACTTTGTCCGTCTTAAAGGCGCCACTGGACTCAAACGTCGTAAATTTTCTAAACTGGTGAACTAAGTCAAATGTCCTCATGTCGCCACTGTCTGATCTGAGCTACTGCCAGACCGGTGGAATGATGGAGTTAAATTTCTTTGGCCTTGTGAGTGTTTCTGTCTTTGTGCAGAACATGAAATAGACTCCCCCACCCCACCCCCACTAAGGTCACAGAGGGCTGTTTATTTAATGAAATGGTGCCGGGAAGGGGATGAGGACCAAGCATCCCGTCAGGCTGCGCAAAACCGTAGGTGTGCAATAACGTTCACGACACAGACTTAGACCAGCGCTCGGTGGCAATTCCAGAGGGTGGGCAGACTGGCCCGCGGTAGAACAGCCACCAGATCTGAGTCCGCGAGCCCCCTGAAGGCCAATGAGACCGTAGAGGGGTTATGCGCTTCAGAGAGCCAGCGCTCTCGTTGTCAGATACGAGGCTGCATCTGGCGGTGGGAGCTTTGACAAGGGGGTTGCCGGCATTTTTGAGCCCACAGGCACCTTTGGAATTCTGAAGCTGCACGGTGCGCACGGCCACAAAATGGCCGCCACAAGAGGTGGACCCAGCCACCCAATGGCTGCTGCAGCCGAAGAGCCTTGGGCTGCGGTGGCCAGTGTTCCCTCTAAGCTGAGTTAGTGTGAGCTGGCTCACAGGTTTTTAGCCTCCGGCTCACACATTTTTGTGTTTGCTCAGGAAGAATGGCTCCAGAGCAATCTAATTTATGCATTAGTCAAATTGCCTGTTCACAACTTTAATGCCAGTAGCTCACAAAGTAGCATTTTTGCTCACAAGGCTCTGCAGCTTAGAGGGAACATTGGCGGTGGCAGCTGCGACCGGCAGGACGTTTTTTAGAAATCTGCGCGGCCAATCAGAAGCCTTGCTGGGCAAAAGCTCCACCTGGCCCCACCCACTTTCTAAAAAAAAACCTGGCAGGCACCAGAAAGGGTGTCGGGGGAGGGGGACCTCCTGATGGCACCTGGTATTTTGGGCCACGGTGCGACACCGCGTGTTGGACTGGATGGGCCACGGGCCTGGTCCAGCATTGGCTTCTCTTCAATGCTCCCTCTAAGCGGCGGAGTCTTGTGAGCAAAAATCCTACTTTGTGAACTACCGGCATTAAAGTGGTGAGCGAGTGGTTTGGCTACTGCATAAATTCGTTTGCTCTGGAGCCCTCCTTCCTGAGGTGAGGCAAAAATGTGTGAGCCGGAGGCTAACAAACTGTGAGCTGGCTCACACGAACTCAGCTTAGAGGGAACACCGCTTGAGGGTTCTCAGTGCATCTTACGATTACGTTCCTTCAGTAGATCAGAGAAAAAGTAATCTAGCCCAAGTATTCTGTTTCAAAGAGCAGCCAGCTTGGAAGTAAGGCATGGGCACAACAGCTACCCCCTGCCCATCTCCAAACTACCCATGCCAGTCTAAGACCGTCCATCCCAACCTTGCATATTTAAAACAGCTTATAGGCAAGGTTCCCTCTAAGCTGTGGAGTCTTGTGACCAAAAATTCTACATCATGAGCGACTGGAATTAAAGTGGTGAGCGAGTGATTTGGCTGCTGCATAAATTAGTTTGCTCTGGAGCCGTCCTTCCTGAGCTAGGACAAATATCTGTGAGCTGGAAGCTAAAGAACTGTGAGCTGGCTCACACTGACTCAGCTTAGAGGGAACACTGCTTCTCTTATGTCCTTATGGTGCCATGCTGCCCCCCGTTCTTCTCTAAGGTGTCACTGGACTTGAATCAAGCTACTCGATGGTAATTTTTTTTTTAAGTACTACTTATCATCAGTGGCTGCCAGCCGGAGTGGCTTGCTCGTTCTCTACGGCCGGCCACTGAGCAGCATCCCACAACCCCCTGACAACAGGCTGTGTGGGGAGGGGGGGCCGGGCCCTCCCCTTGAGTGTGAAGTCACACCTGCGTGGAGTGCTGCCGTTTGCAATGGCCTGTGCGAATCTGGGGAAAGGCGCCTGCCCAACAGGCTTGAACGGTGCCACAAAACCATCCGCTTGCCGCTGGTGGGCAGCACGCAGGTCAGCTGAACCCGCAGGGGCCTGAGTGTCCCAACATGAACACACACACTCGTGAACACGGGGAGGTGCCTTACAATGAATCAGACTATTGGGCCGTCGGAGTCAATATTGTCTGAGCCAACCTTTTTGGCAAGTGTGCTGCAAGGGGAGGGGCCGTGCCTCAGAAGTGCACCACATGTACACAGTCCCAGGTTCAATTCCCGGCATCCTCTGGGAACCACTCATTCACTACCGGCCTCAACGGACTCCCTAATAAAGCAAATAAGACCAATGGCTATGATGGTGGAGAAAAAGACAGAGGAATAGGCCTGATGCCACACGTCACACTCAGTCCCATGAAGACTAAATGAAACAACTTTCTATTTCCTTTTGCCACAAATTAGCCATCCACAGACTAGACACATGGCACAAATTCTTCGCAAAAGAACAGCACTGCTCCAGGGTCTCAGGCTGGGTCTCCAGGTCCTTTGTATCACCTCCTGCCCGGTCCTTTAACCAGAGAAGCCAGGGATTGAACCTGGGGCCTTCTGCAGGCCAAGCAGAGGCTCCGCCACCAGGTCATGCCCCCTCCCCGACCCCCCCGAGGAAAGTTGATGGCTCATCCCACCCCCAAATCTCCTACATTTCTCAAGCACTGGGGGCATGGATGCTAGGGTTTGATCTGCACACGTGTTCTCGACGCTGCAAACGCCCCACGAGACAACGGCCGTGTCACCCTACAAGCAAAATTCTCTCAAGCTTTCGAAGCAGAGGTTAACTGTGCTGCTTTGGTATGCTTTGGAAAAGCGAAGGCGCCGTGCCAGCGTGCTCTTTACCCGCGAAATGGTTGCTTTGGACATCGACCTATGCCACTGTGGCCTGCCGCCACTCCAGACCCCCAGGCCTGAGATGTTGGAGACCCACTGCTTGGATTCTCCTCCTTCCCTGCCATCCACAATAATGGCTGAGGAAGAGTGGGAGGCGGGGGGGTAGCTCCCCCCTTCTGTTTCGCCTGGGGACATCAGCACTGTTGGATGAGGATGGCTTTATCTTGCCTTGCTCTTAAAAATATCCTGCAAGGCCACTTACGCATATAAAGTGTTTAAAAAAACCCCAAACACGATGGACGAAATCCCCAACTATTGAAAAACCAAACCAGCAAACAAAATTCTGCTATCAAAAGCAGGAGTGAACAACTGGGGAAGTGGACTAAAGGGGCTGTTATAGAGGCAAGGTGCTACCACCAAAAAGGCCCCATCTCCAGTCGCGATTGTATAGTTTTAGAGGCTGGAGACGTTGGGAAAGGCAATGTCCGGTGTATAGAGAAGACCCTGAAGGGGGCAGCAGGATAAGATGGTGAGGGCAGCCCCTTCTCTCTCCTGTTCGCATTCCTTGTCCATTCACAAATGCTACTCTTAGGGCAATTTCTTCTTCTCAGAAGTCCTTCACTTACTCTCCTCTCTCTCTCAGCTAGAGATGTCATTAGGAACCTACCTCTGTCTCTCCTCTTTCCTATCAAGCACGTTCATGGCTAAATAAACCTTTATCTACTTTTTAAAATCAAGTTGTGCACCATTGTTATGTTAATTACTCTGCCAACACGAGGTTGGGTCTGTGGGGAGGAAGCGAGCCCTTCCGTCTCCAGCACCAACCCTCTGGCGCCCAGACCAGTCCGCCCTTGCCCCGGAATCTGGCTGCAGGAACCTGTGTCATCTTAGAAAGCAGTCGGAAGGTGCTTACCAATCCTGGTGGAGGGAGGCGTCGGGTCTGGTCCTGAAAAAGAAAGGGAGAAAAGAAAACGTCAGGTGTGAAGCAGGCGGGTCAGACCTTGGGCCGTTCCCTAATTCTGGTTGTGAAGCAGCCAGTTGCTTCATCAGAACTAGGATGGGGGTGGGGGGGAGCTTGGAAGGTCATCGTTTAGGGGTCCCCGACCTTTTTGAGTCTGCGGGCACTGTTAATTACTCTGCTTAAAAGAGTAATTACACTGCTTAAAAGCACTTGGTGGGCTTCAGGGGGAAGTGCTGACTGGTGCCACGACACCCCCCCCCCCGAGAAGCACGCTGCGGATTCCTGGTGTTATTGATGGAGCTGAACGTCCGACACAGGAAACGCCAGTTCAGCTCCCTGCTCAGGATTCCCACGTCTCTGCATGAACATGGGAATCATAGAATGTTAGAGTTGGAAGGGACCTTGCAGGTCATCTAGTCCAACCCTCTGCACTCTGCAGGAGCCTAGCCGAAAGATAGCCTTACAACATACCCGAAAGATGTTCGTCCAGCCTCCGCTTGGAAACGTCCAGCGAAGGAGCCTCCACCACCACCCCCCGAGGCAGACTGTTCCACTGCTCAACCACTCTTACAGTTAGGAAGTTTCTCCTGATATTTATCTGGTAACGACTCCCTTGTTATTCCCACCCATTAGATCTAGTCTTGCAATCCGGAGCAAGAGAGAATAGATCCACTCCATCTTCCACATGACAGCCCTTCAAATACTTGAAGACTGCAATCATGTCCCCTCTAAGCCTTCTCTTTCCCAGGCTAAACAGACCCAACTCCTTCAGCCTTTCCTCCTAAGACTTGGATTCCAACCCTCTCACCATCCTGGTTGCCGTCTTCTGGACGCGCTCGAGCTGGTCAACATCCTTCCTAAAATGTGGTGCCCAAAACTGGACACAGGACTCCAGGTGAGGCCTGACCATAGCAGAATAGAGCGGAACTACCACCTCCCGTGATCTGGACACAATGCTTCTCCTAATGCCTCCTAAGACTGCATTCGCTTTCTTCACAGCCACATCGCACTGCAGGCTCATTTTTCCTCTACAAAGGTAGCAGCCAGGGGTGGATCTGCGGCCGCTGTAACTCGTAGTTTGGTCCTACGCTTTACAAACCAGTAGATGCCCAACACATGAAGCTGCTTTATTCAGAATCAGACCGTTTGTCCGTCAAAGTCAGTATTGTCCACTCAGACTGGCAGCAGCTCATCGGTGTGTCAGGCAGAGAGAGGTCTTTCCCATCACCTACCAACTGGTCCTTTCAGCTGGAGATGCTGGGGACTGAACCTGTGACCTTATGTATGCCAAGCAGATGCTCTGCCACTGAGCCATGGCCCATCCCCAAACACACACTTGAACATGCCTTATACTGAATCAGTATCAAGGTCAGTGTTGCCTACTCAGACTGGCAGCGGCTCTCCAGGGTCTCAGGCCAAGGTCTTTCACATCACCTACGACCTGATCCTTTTAACTGGAGATGCCGGAGATTGAACCTGGGACCTGCATGCCAAGCAGATGCTCTTCCACTGAGGCACAGCCCCAGTTAATCGATGAACACACACATGACGCTGCCTCATACAGAATCTGACCCTAGTAAGGTCAGTATTGCCTACTCAGACTGGCAGCAGCTCTCCAGGGTCTCAGGCAGAGGTCTTTCCCATCACCTACGACCTGATCCTTTTAACTGGAGACGCCAGGGATTGAACCTGGGACCTTCTGCACGCCAATCGTTGAGCCCCTTCCCGATCTGAGGGATTCTGACACTTCCTCCCTTCTGCACGTGAGCCCTGAGCACACGACTTACTCTTCTGCAGACTGAAGTGATGCTCCGCCAGGCCAAGGTTATTCTGGGCCGTGCAGTTGATTCCAGATTTCAGAAGTTCTGGTGTGACCCGGATCTGAAGAGTGCTGTTGACGTGGCCGTTCCGGTGTGAGTGTCCGCTCTAGAAGTGGCAGAGAAAATACTGTGGAGGGTGGTGGTGGTTTTTCCCCCCAGGGAGAAAAAGGATAAGACAGGCAAGCCTGTTCCAAGAGAGATACTAATGTGTCCACTAGTTTGAGCCGACCCTTGGCTTTGACGAAGCCACCAGAAATCAGGACGGAAAATACAGCACGGGCTCGGTTGTAAAGCTCGCCTGCTGCAAAGAAAAAATGATTAAGGCAAAGTATCAAACTGAACGAGAACCCCTGAAGAGACTGACTGCCTGATTTTGTCCACTTGGGCCACCGTTTTCTGCTAAGTGATTGCTGGAATCAGGACTGAAGCACTGGTCTTTTGTGCCTGATTGCACACTGCTGCTTCGGGAAGCTTGGATTACCATCGGGTACTCTACGTGGGGCTGCCCTGGCAGGTAACCTGGAATCAGCAGAGTCCTGAACGCAGCGGTCTGCCCTTCTGCTCGGTGGAGAAAGGAAGACGCTCCTGCAACCCCACCTCGCACAGGCTTTCTGTGCATTTCTCGATGTCAATCAAGGCGCCGGTTTTAAAAGCAACCTTTTTAGGAGGCCCAGCCAAAATGAGATGAACCACTGGGCAAGTTTTCACTCCAGAATTCTTCCTCAGGCCAGTTGTCTGAGGATTCAGAACCCATAAAGGTTAGTCAAGAATACAAGAGGGCCAACATGTATATTCTGTAGGTTTCATAATTAGATTTTAAGAGTTGGCCCTCTTCTATTCTTGACTAACCTTTATAGGTTCTGAATTCTAGGTTTTAGGTTCAGTCTCCCCCCCCCCCCTTTTGTCTTTACAGGTGTCTGAGGAACCATGTCCTGGGACCCAAATATCTGCAGTGCTGCCTCCCCTCCAGTGGACGTCATCTGCCAGTCATTCCTTTTGAGAATTCCACTGAGGCTCCATAAAGGTAAAGGTTCCCTTGCTCGAAAGCCAGTCGAGTCCGACTCTAGGGTTGCGGTGCTCATCTCCGTTTCAAAGCCGAAGAGCCAGCGCTGTCCGAAGATGTTTCCGTGGTCATGTGGCCAGCATGGCTAAACACCAAGTCGCACGGAACGCTGTTACCTTCCCACCGAAGTGGTCCCTATTTATCTACTTGCAATTTCTTGCTTTCGAACTGCTAGGTTGGCAGGAGCTGGAACTAGAGACGGGAGCTCACGCCATCATGCGGCACACTCAGGTCTCGAACTGCTGAACTACAGACCTTCCACAGCCTGCAGTTCAGCGTCTTAACCACTTGAGCCACCGCAGCTCCCATACAAGGCTCCATACAAGGCATGATATCCTCACTTCCTGGAATGAATGCGTGAAGCTGCCTTCTCCTGAATCAGACCCTTGGTCCATCACAGCCCGTATTTGTCTGTTCAGACTGGTGGCAGCTCTCCAGGGTTTCAGGTGGAGGTCTTTTTTTTTTTTTTAACAGATAATTTTTATTCTTTTTCATAAACAGCAAAGATTTACAAGGTAAGCATGAGCATGGCCAGCTCTCAATGGCTGACTCCAGGAATTTAAGGCTTTCCAAACCTTCTGTTTCTCTTTTTGGTAGGGTAACACAGGCTCAAGGCTTTTCGGGGATCTATTGTGGTCCAGAGGAAGAATGGATATGAATTTCTGGGATAATTTTAAATAAAATAGGATTTATTGAAAGGGGAACAAAATAAGAAGTTGGTAATTATTTAACTGGTTGGAAATAAGGTTTCTGTAAAGGAACTTGTTAACTGTATCACTTTAAGACCCATATACGGATCCTTCTCGGACCCCACAGATTCTTTAGTCTCTCTCACTCTCTGACTCCACACAGCATTGTCGAAGGTCTCGCTGACTGAAATTCAACCGCACAACATCAACTGCTTTTTCACCAACAATTTTCATTATTCCAACTGTCATTCACCAATCTCTCACTGACACACCCACACAGATGCACACAGAATAACTCCTCCCACACTCTGCCATCCATATTGGGTGGAGGTCTTTGACTTTGCTCTTACCTGGCCCTTTTAACCAGTGATGGAGGCGACTGAACCGGAGACCTTCTGCATGCCCAGCAGATGCTCTGCCATTGAGCCACGGCCCCTCCCAGAATGTATTATTCTACTATGGCATGTTGTTTGGGGAGGGGGGAGTGCTGGGAGAGGAAGGGCCTTGCCTTAGGCCACCAAAGATTTCTTCTGGGAGAGATGAGATTTAAAAGATAGAGCCACAGGAACTGTGTAAAGTACGCTCAATGTTTCTATAATGATAGCAATGATGTTATAAATATGAAAATTACAAAAGTGATACTAATACACTCAAATTGTAAATCCAGTTATAGAAGATAACAATGACGGCGGGACGGTGGTCTCCGGAATGTGATGCCGTTTCGACAAACGTCTTCTTCTGACCAAGAGTCTATAAGTAGATGATGTGTGGAAAATTGCACTTCAATAGAAAAGCTTCAATAGAAAATCTACTTATAGATTCTTGGTCAGAAGAAGGCGCTTGTCGAAACGGCATCACATTCCGGAGATCGTCGTCCCGCCGTCATTGTTATCTTCTATCTTATGTAACTGGATTTACAATTTCAATGTATTAGTATCACTTTTGTAATTTTCATATTTACGTATAACATTATTGCTATCATTATAGAACCACTGAGCGCGCTTTACACCGTTCCTGTGGCTCTATCTTTTCATGTCTACGGACTGTGGCCATATTTGTCTTTGTACACAGAGATGAGATTTAGCCATTCCCAGTTTACAGCCGCAAATTACCCTCTCGTTGAAACTTATAAAGGTTTTTTGTAAAAAATAAATAAATGAGCACTTTGCAATCCCAGGTTGGTTCAGTGGAGGCTGAAGCCGCCCTGTGTAGGGTCCCCACCCCCTTACCGTTCCGTTGGGCGCGCTCCACAAGATGGTGGCCTTGGGTACTGCGACCGCAATGCAGGAAAGGCTGATGAGCTCGTTCACGCGGACGTATTCCTGGTGCATCTCCCCCGTCAGGCTGGGTTTTGCTGCAATGACGAGAGGCCGTGAATCATCCGTGCCGCCCCCATCACGCAGCGGCACGGCAGGAAGAGGGTGTTGCTGGGTTCCTACTTACAATAAACGTTGACAAAGACATGTTTGGAGTGGACGAGCCCTGCCACCTCTGGCATTGTGACCACACAGCTGTAGTTGCCCAAAGTCTCGTGGGTGACGTTGAACAAGGAGAGTTTCTTTCCTCGGGACACCACCTTCCCCTTCTGCTAGGGAGGAAGGGGGCAGGAGGAAGAGGTGAGGTGAGAAGGGGAAAGAGCAGACAAGTTTTCTCAGGGAGAGGAGCAAAGCCAGTCCAATGTTCCCTCTAAGCTGTGGAGTCTTGAGAGCAAAAATGTTCCTTTGTGAGCTCCTGGCCTTAAAGTTGTGAGCGAGCGATTTGGCTGCTGCATCAATTCGTTTGCTCTGGAGCCCTCCTTCCTGAGCGAAGGCAAAAAATGTGTGAGCCGGAGGCTAAAAAACTGTGAGCTGGTCACACTAACTCAGCTTAGGGGGAACACTGAAAGCCACAGCAGTACGGTTTCTCTAAGCCCAGAGGGCGAACCGAAATCTCAAATACCCTTCAAAATCTGCCTTACCATAGAGAAGTCGCCCCAGGCAGTGACTTGTGTAGAATGTGAAAGAACAAATACCTCAGTGCAAGAATAAATAAATAGAATTCTTGAGCTGTTGCCGAACTGTCGGTCTCAAGCACATTTTAATTTTTTTAAATGTTTACATTCTGCTCTTCTCACTGATCAGAGACCCCAAAGCAACTTTTCACATCTTCCCTTCCCCTTCACTTAATCCTCACAACAACCACCTTGCGAGGTAGGTTAGACTGAGAGACAGGGACAAGCCCGAGGTCACCTGACGGATTTCCATGGTTGAGTGCAGGATTTGAACCCCCAGTTGTCCCAGGTCCTAGTCCAACCACATCACCTGTCCACTTTAAAGAACATCAGAAGAGCCCTGCTGGATCAGACCAGTGAGGGTCCATCTAGTCCAGCATCCTGTCTCACACAGTGGCCAGCCAGTTCCTCCGGAGGGCCAACAACAGGACATAGAGGCCGAGACCTTCCCCATATAAGAGCATCAGAAGATCCCTGCTGGATCAGACCAGTGAGGGTCCATCTAGTCCAGCATCCTGTCTCACACAGTGGCCAGCCAGTTCCTCCGGAGGGCCAACAACAGGACATAGAGGCCGAGGCCTTCCCCATATAAGAGCATCAGAAGATCCCTGCTGGATCAGACCAGTGAGGGTCCATCTAGTCCAGCATCCTGTCTCACACAGTGGCCAGCCAGTTCCTCCGGAGGGCCAACAACAGGACATAGAGGCCGAGGCCTTCCCCATATAAGAGCATCAGAAGATCCCTGCTGGATCAGACCAGTGAGGGTCCATCTAGTCCAGCATCCTGTCTCACACAGTGGCCAGCCAGTTCCTCCGGAGGGCCAACAACAGGACATAGAGGCCGAGGCCTTCCCCATATAAGAGCATCAGAAGATCCCTGCTGGATCAGACCAGTGAGGGTCCATCTAGTCCAGCATCCTGTCTCACACAGTGGCCGGCCAGTTCCTCTGGAGGGCCAACAACAGGGCAGAGAGGCCGAGGCCTTCCCCTGATAAGAACATCAGAAGAGCCCCACTGGATCAGACCAGTGGTCCATCTGGTCCCGCATCCCCACTCCCTGTCAGTTGCCAGGGGTATCTAGAAACTCTAGGTCCACCAATAGAAAAAAACCGGAATCTCTTGGCAACTGTACAATCAGAATACCTTTTTCCACTTGAATTCCAAAGGCTTGGAGCCTTTTGCGTCACAGGCCAGTTCCAAATCTTCTCCTTCCTTCAAGGCTTCGTGGTGCTCTGGGGTGATTGTGGGCACATCGATATCTAGCGGGGTGAAATCAGGAATCCCGTTTTTTGTAACAAATTTTCCTGACGTTAACAAATATACAAGGCAGTAAACTGTCCAGGTCTGGTGGCTGGGCTGTGGATAGAGGCTTCCCTGCTGTCCACGCCACGCCCACACTGGCTGCCGCCACGGCTCAGACACACCCGACCTCGGCCCCCAGACAGGCAGCAGGCCCCGAGCAGGCCTACTTGCCGAGCCTGGAGCTAACAGAGGCGGTGTCAGGGTTCGATAGTCGGGTCACACAACACAGCGCTTCATAAGAAGGATTCTGTTTATTGGTACACCGTGACTATGACATGTGTACGGTTTGTGTCAGGAATGCTCGGGAACAGTATGGCACCCTGAATTATACTAGGATCAAACACACACCCCCTTACAAGCTGAAGCCAATAAGCAAAGCTCATGCGTGCGGGGAAAAAGAGCGGGCAAAAGGAAAAAGCCGTTGGTTCCCAGCAAAAGCTAACAGCAGCTGGAACATCCCGGGGGGGAAGCGAGCAAAAGCTGTCGACAGCAGCTGGAACATCCCAAGGTCAAGAAAGTAGATAATACCCAGACAGTGGAACTCTGTGCGCAGCAGGCAGAGCAAGGTGTTTTCTCCCTCCACACATTCCAGCAACATGGCAGTGTTAACTGACAGGCGGTGAGGCCGGAGGTGCAGACGGCCATGGGGAAGGAAGGGCCATCTAGGGAGACGAGGCCGGAAGCGTGGAACAGTGGGGTGGCGGGACAGAGGGTGAGCCTCCCCACTCCGGCCAGGGCCAACGGAAATGGCCTAGCCTGGACAGGTAGGAGTCAGCACCCTCGGGGGAGGATAAAAGGAGGCTCCGGCAAAGACGCCAATGAGAAGAAAGGCTGGACATCAAGTCTGTGGCAATGGGTGTTCCAGCTGGGGGGAGGAGGACCCGGGGTGAGCAAACCCCCTCTCCTCCTGTTCTGGGGCCTCAAGGAGTGTCCCATTGCTTGGGGCACGGCAGCAGAGGGCTGCACCCCGGGGGGGGGGGGGTAGGTGGTGCGTGACAAAACAATAAAAAAACATGCAATGATCAACCAACCGCACCATAGGAATCAAAAACATCCATTAGAACCATAGTGGAACCAGCCAAAAAAACCCTCACAACCTTTATTTATTTAATTCATTTAGTGCAATAAGTCAATGATCAAAATTTTGGAAGCACAGAATAGACTTCGTGTGATACCTGAAGAATGGGACTATCAGGAGTCGCCACAAAGAAGGCCACCTCTCCAACGACCACCCTTCCTAACCCCTGGAGGCCAGGCCGTACAGGCTGGAAGACCTCAGGTGCTGGGTGGGATCAGCCTCCTAACGAGCGGCCTGGTGTGGGCCGGCAGTTCTGCCTGCTTGCTTCTGCGGTGCCTCCGTCCATTGATCTCTTTGTTTCATTCGTTTGTATCTGGGTTTTCTCCCCAGTTGCAGGGAGCCGGCCATTTCAAGCAGAACCTTCTGAACGGCACACACACACACATATCCCCGCCGCCCCGAGCCCCACTTACAGTTGACGGACAGGGTGACGTTGGCCTCCAGCTCGTACATGCTCTCGAAATCGAACACCCGGCAGTAGTAGGTGCCGCTGTCCTCCTTCTTGACGTGTTCCAAGGTCAGCTCCCCACCGGGAGCATTCAGCAGCTGGTCCTGGGCACAAGAGAGGAGGCGGGAGAAGCTGAGCGAGATCGTTCGAAAGGAGGAGCCAGTGGAACAGAGCCACCTTTACATGCAGAAGGTCCCAGGTTCTGTCCTCAGCAGTCTGCCGCTCGGAACAGGAAAGGCCTCCGCCTGAGACCCTAGAGAGTTGCCGTCTGTCAGAGGAGACGATATTGACCTTGATAGACCAAGGGTCTGACTTGATGATGAAGAAGAGATGAGATTGGATTTATACCCCATGCCCTTCACTCGGAGTCTCAGAGCGGGCTTACAAACTCCTTTCCCTTCCCCTCCCCACCACAGACACCCTGTGAGGTAGGTGGGGGCTGAGAGAGCTCTGGGAGAACTGTCCTTGAGAGAACAGCTCTGAGAAAACTTGTGACTGAACCAAGGTCATCCAGCAGCTGCAAGTGGAGGCGTGGGGAATCAACCCCGGTTCTCTAATCTGGGAGAACCGGGTTTGATTCCCCACTCCTCCACTTGCACCTGCTGATGTGACCTTGGGTCAGTCACAAGCTCTGGCACAGCTGTTCTTGAAAAAGAGCAGTTTGTGTCAGAGTTCTCTCAGCCCCACCCACCTCACAGGGTGTCTGTTGTGGGGAGGGGAAGGGAAAGGAGTTTGTAAGCCGCTCTGAGACTCCAAGTGAAGGGCGGGGTATAAATCCAATCTCTTCTTCTTCTTCTCCTAGATTAGAGTCCGGGCACTTAACCACCACACCAAACAAGGTGGATTCATGTGTTCTCTGATCACAATTTCCTTGGATCGAACAGTCATTTTCCTCTTGAACAGACAGTCGATCCAACCTGCTGTCAGGCCAAGCAGACAGTTGTCAGCGGGATGGGTCAAGAGCACGGGCCCTTCCACATTCTCATTTGAGAGCCAGTTTGGTGTAGTGGTTAGGAGCGCGGACTCTGATTGGGGAGAACCAGGTATGATTCCCCCACTCCTCCACATGCAGCTGCTGGGTGACCTTGGGCAAGCCACAGTTCTCTCAGAAGTGTTCTCTCACGAGCAGTCCTTGAGAGAGCTCTCTCAGCCCCACCTACCACACAGGGTGACTGTTGTGGGGAGGGGAGGGGAAAAGAGATTGTAAGTGAAGGGCGGGGTATAAATCCAATCTCTTCTCTTCTTCATTTTCCCCACTTGGGTGTCCCTATTGCCTCGAGGGGAGGGGTCTTTTCGGCACGTGCTTCCCTCCCTCTAGTGGTTGATTCAATATTAGCAGCAGGTTTTTATGTCGGAGATAAACCCATGCAATCTCAAATTGACCACTGGAGGGAGCAAAATATGGGGGAACCCAAAGCCATAGGAACACCCAAGCCAGGAAAATGAAAATGTGGAAGAGCCCTATGACTCGGTACAAAACGTTCCCATGCACATGGACAGCCCTGTCCTGATTGGTCAGCCACAAGCAAGAAGAAACAGCACATGTACCTGCAGGGGCCCCCAGGGAGAGAGAATTGTTTC